CAATTGGGAAAACTATGAAGGCACACATGATTTTCATAACAGAACACAGCTGATATATAACAAGCCAAATAACACCAAAAACTCCTTGGGATTTGGCTTCCTCTGGAGGAATTCCCTGATCCCTCCAGGTAGTGACTTTGCCATAACCAGCTGAGTTCTTATGATATATTCCTGCGGCCCGCAGCATGTTGTCTTGCATAGTTAAGCCGGTCATTTTCTATCAAAGAAAAGGCATTGTCCTCTCCATTGAGAATAGTGATGCACCTCCACTTCCCTCACAGACACAAGAGAAGAAGGGTCTCAGCTGGAGTCTTGGGAGAGATGAGTGCTGCTGCTGAAGGGAAAACCTACTCGAAGCTGAATTGGTGGACTTTGTTCAATAAAGGCTGTTACTCAAATGTAAAAAAAAAAAAAAAAGACCAGTTGCCTGTACTAATCTGAGTAGAGTGAACTATTGGAATAATTAGTTCCAAAATATAATAGTTCAGACACAGTCCCTCTCTTGCTCACATAAGAACCAATTACAGATATTCCATTTTGATGGACAATGTTCCTTTGTCATCTCTACCATCTTCAACACAACTTCTAAGGCACTCTGCTTATCTTCATTGCTGGAAATGGCAAAGAGAATGGAGGAGTGCAATCAGGGATCACTAATTACTTTAATGAATACCACAGTCAAGAATGTCAGGAAGTTATTTCTGCCATGCAGAGGTCAGAAAAATCCCAGAGCTACCCTTGCTGTTAGTACGAAGTGTCCTAAGGTCTCAAGATGATTAGCATCAAAAGGAGTATAGTGGGGCTCTGTGAAAACTCATATGTGCAGAAAGATCACTTGTCTCTTCTTGCTACTAGAGAAAAAGTGTACTTTCTACTCTTTCCTTAGCCACATTTTGTGAAGTGAGATCACATTGGCAAGGGAGTCTCAGAACTATTGCCTCAACGTTTCCATCTTCTGCAATGCAAGGAGGAAGATTGAGTTGGGATTGCGGGGGGCCACAGACCAGCTGTATTGTTGAGAATTCTGTTCAAGTTGAAAGATTTGTCTCCTTTCCTTTTCTAGACTGAAGTTAGGACTTGCAGAAGTTTCTTGTGTTACTGCTCTGCAAACTGAAGCAACTGAGGTTGCAAAAGTAGTTTGTGCCATGGAATTTTCTTTTTTCTAGGCCCTGGACACCCATCCTGGATGTAAAATGAGCCTTAATTTGTGCTCTCTGATATCCTTACATACTTCCACATATTTATCGTTGTGAGTTTGAACTTGCTCTCATATACCCACATCTCAGACAGTAAGTTATACGGTGTCAAATTTGGAGGGGCACAAAAATTCAAAAAAGACTTCTGATGAGTTGGAAGAACTTCCCAGATTGTTACCAGATACCACTGGCCTCACAGGTTAAAGTTGTTCTGAAATGGAAATGTGGAATAAATGGAGGTTCCAGGAAATAGTTTGTATGGTTAAGAATATATTTATCCTCCTGAGAGTTCCATTCACAGAATGAACACAGGTAAACTACAGCACATTAAAATTCACATTTCTCGGGGCTGAGAGATGGTCAAGAGCACTTGGTGTAAGTAACAAGCCAATGGGTGAAAAGCTGCCCAGAAGTTTCTAGACCTCACTCTTTCCCCATCCAAACTGCCTTTCTCTTGTCCCAAATAATTCTACTTATTTTAGGATCCTATAGGGAAATCTTGTTTATTTTACTTTGTGGGGGAGGCTACTGGGGATTAAGTTAGAACCTAGTACACAGCTAAGCAAACACTATACCCCTGAGCCATGTCCCCAGTTCTTTTTCTTTTTTTTAAATTCAATGCTTCATTTTCAAAAGTACTATCTGAGCTACAGATGAGCAAAAATACCAGACCCCTGCTATGTACTATTACCAAAGCAACTCTTCAGCCAAACTCTGGTGTTGAGCTACCCACCACCAAACGAGAAGTTTAGAATAGAAAAATACTAACAGCCAAGCTTGCCGGTAGATATAACAAGTGCTGATAAGCTTCAAAATAAACAGGATGTAAAATGTGGAGATGAATCCACATATAGTCTTTTTAAAGAAATAGATAAATGTAAACAGTAGAGGGACAGATAAAAACCCAGATGGCATGTAAGATTGAACCCTTCTGATGACCCAGCCAGTTGGTGGTAGTAGTGGGGGGATCTGAGTTCAAGGTTATAAAAATTGTGCTCTGTGCTCAATCAACATTCTCACCATTCTGGGATGAAACCAGATTTTTCAAGGTTCTAAAATAAACCACCTCACTTTTGCTTGGGAAAAAGAAAAAGAAAAAAGAGTACTTGCTGCTCTTGGGGAGGACCCAAATTTGTTTTCTAGAACCCATGTTGTGCAACTCACAACCACATGTAACTCCAACTTTCAGGGGAATCCAAAACCTCCGGCCTCCATGGGTAGCTACACACACACACACACACACACACACACACATACACACACACACACATACACACACACACACACACACACACACACACTAAAATAGTAAAAATAAAACTTGAAAAAATATTCATATTTCCAACTGGTAAAATGACTCAGTAGGTAAAGGTGCTTGCTACGAAGCCTTCTGATTATGAGTTCAATCCCTGGAACCCGTGTGGAAGGAGAATACCAACTCTCACAATCTGTCCTTTTACCTCCACACACTTACAGTCACACACGCACACATGCACACTCACAAAAATAAGTAAATGTAAAAAAATCAAAATTTTAAAGACTCAAATTTCTCAGGTTGGGTTATTGGCTAAGTGAGACAAAACCTAAGAATCCTTCTCAGAAGGGTGTTCTAGAGTGCTACAGACTAGTTGGAGTGTGTAACTGTTCAAATCTAAATTTTCTCCCATTAGCTCCTCTCGTTAGCCTAGCTGTGGCTCTTCTTTGAAGGCTGTGGAGCCTTTAGGAGGTGAGATTTCTAGGGTCAGGCTTTTGAAGATTATACCCATTTTTAGTTCATGCCTACTTTCTCTGTTTCATGGTCATATATATATATATATACATATATATATATATATATATAATGGTATATATTTTAAAAGCACATTTATTAATTCTTTGTGAATTTCATATAATGTATTTTCACTTCCTCTCTCTCAATTCCTACCAGACCCACTTCCTCTCCCTAATCACCAAACATTGGTTCTTTGAGGGATAATTATTTCCTAATTTGAAGTCTAGTCTATTTTAGTGTAGCTCTGATGGTGGTTAATTGTACTACCTTTTCTTTTAAATTGTGTGTATGGGGGGAGGGGGCTGCAGGTGCAAGTGCACTTGTGTAGTTCTCTCTCTGTCTCTCTCTCTGTCTCTCTCTCTCTCTGTCTCTCTGTCTCTCTGTCTCTCTGTCTCTCTGTCTCTCTCTCTCTCTGTCTCTGTCTCTCTCTCTGTCTGTCTCTCTCTGTCTCTCTGTCTCTCTGTCTCTCTCTCTCTCTCTCTCTCTCTCTCTCTCTCTCTCTCTCTCTCTCTGTGTGTAGGCTTGAGGCTGACAGGGTGTCCTGATGAACCTGAAGTTCATCAATTGAATTAGACTGGCTAGAGAGACCCTCCCTTTCAAGGCTGTAGTTACAGGAAGGTGCCTCCATGCTGAGATTTTTTTTTGTAGTTTTTATATTTAATTTTTTATTTTTAATTATTTGTGGGTGTATGGATATGTGCATGTGAGTGTAGCTGCCAGAAGATGCCAAGGGCATCATGTCCCCCTGAACTGGAGTTACAGGTGGTTGTGAGCCACCCGTTGTGGA